AATACTTTCTGACTAAATGAATGAAGAACTGACGTTTGGAAGGACCAATGCAAGCGGGCACACTTTGCAGTGAAAGCACCGGGTCCCCCTTTCCCCGTGGAGATGAGGGACACATGCTCCACAGTGTGCTCTCAGATGTGGCTGTGCTGTCTGCCATTTGCCTCTTTCCACCCATCACACGGTCACATCAAGGACCTACCTCACTCATCTATGCGTCTGATCTCTCCATGTGTGTGGATTTGAAACTTTCCTATCAAGGAAAGAGGGAGGCATGGCTGAGTGGTGGTAAACAACAGGAATGAGGCATGTCGCCAGTAGGCACGGAATCGGGGCACACTGGATTCAGCTCGTGGGTGACAGTGTTCCATCGAGTGCCAGTCTGAATGCAGACTTGCAGGTTGCAGCTGGCAGCACGCTGCATGGCTAAAGCTGGTGTGATGCATGGGCCATGCACTGTGTGCTCTCTGCTTTTATATCCACCGAGTCCTCCAAACTTCCAGTTCTTACTTTTTTGTCCTCTTCCTAGATCCATAGTGTTAAGAGACTTGCCCGTAACACAGGAAAGTGGATAATGGAAACTGATTTTACTTGAGGAGCAGTGTGACCTTGTTGTACGTCTGGCAGGTGTGGGTCAGATGCATTTGTCTAGGAACTGAAGGCAGAATCTTAAGGCAGCAACAATTACACTGAATTTTCAAGGCAGGGAAGTGTAGCTTTAAGGTGGTACAGAAATACATCAAGGCACAAAAATGTCCAAGGATGAGAAAGTTAGGGGAATGATTTCCCCAGCTGCCGGTGGAAGGGTGAAGTCCTGCTCTGTGAGTGCTCCAGGCCATACGCATCTTCCACAGCACGACCTGTGCCTCACTGGAATTACGAGGCCCCGTTCAGTGGAGCGACGTCAACCCCACTCCACGCGTCCTAATGGCCTGCACTGAAGGAGGGTCTCCATGCGTGAAAACATGGAGGTAAATGGAGATGGTGGTTATAGAGCAGGGGGCTCAGCAGCAAAAGGAGGCATCTCAAGAGGGGCAGCAGCAGCTGGACATACCGCAGGAGTTGACCATGGTGTCCAAGGGCAGAGTTTAGATATTAGAAGAGCGAGGCTTAGTGAATCTGCACTCCGTCCTCTTTGGCAGTCTGCTGAAGCTACTATGCCCAGGCCCTGGACCATTTATTCTTCTAAAGAAATATTAGTCTAGAATTAGATCGTCGTGTTTTTCTGATTAAAGATTTTAAAACAAAGAAAAGTAAGATCACTTTTTCCTGGTATGTTAAGAGTTTCCAATCTGGCCTTTCTCAGAACCATCTTTCCTACTTTCTTGTTTGTGAAGAGGGCCCATCACCTGAATCAGCCACTAGTATTTGCCTGTGACCTCTGTGTCATTCCAGGGTGCTGTTTGGACCGATTAGTCTCATCATGCCAGGACCTCTTTGATGTTAAAAGAGAAGCAGAATTATCATGGGGAACGGAAAGAAAATGATTCATGTCTTTGCAATGATGCAATGAGGAAGACAGAACGTGTCTGTGAGTTGTGTGAGACACGCATGCTCATTAGGTAGTAGACTCTCCAGCTGCTTCAGAGTATGCACTAAGTACATGCTTTGAAACCGCTGCCAGTGACTCATTGTTCTGAAACACTACAAGTCACTTGGAGCCACCCTGAAGGTACTCTCACTGGCTCAGCCTGGAGCAGTTTAAGCACCAAAATTAATAATGGCAGTAATGGATTTTAACTTATTAAATGAAATAAGAATCCACAAGTCCCTACCGAGACTAATAAAATAAAAAATATTTTAAAAGCAAGATGAGGAAGTCTTCTAAGATAGTAGAATGTCAACTAATAAATGTAGAAGAAAAAAGTCATTGAATCATCACTTAACAGGAGCGGTCGCTCCCTTTTCCACTTACAAATGTTGGCATTTCCATAAGTTGTATAGGTCTTCCCTGTGGATACTTTACTTCCTGTCACACAGGAAACCACCCACAGACCCGTGGTGTTAGAAACCACTTCAGATCATAACCACAATCTAAATATATCCAGATGTTTATTTATTGGGAATTTATATAGTTATGCGATATGAGCTTTAAATGTTTCTAAATTGGATATGACCATACCCAACACCATTTTTTAAACAGTACATTTCCCTCCAACTGATTAAAAATGTCACATGTTCATATACTACATTTTCTTACATATCTGGTCTATTTCTGGACTCACTTTTTCACTTATGAATGGTTTTTCCTGCTGTCATACTACAATCTTCAATGTTAACTTGCTCTTAGTGGTTATCAAGTCCAACAGTACCCCACCAGCTTGTGGCAGTGTGCTAGTGAACTGAAGTCACTGTGTGGCCAAACGTGACATGCACCCTGGGTTTCCTGCCGTTAGAAAGCAAGTTGCACCTGGCTGGACTCTGGACGTGACACTGTAAAGAGTGCATTGACCACGTCTTCAACGGCGTTCCAGTCGTGCTGGGCTTCTCGCACTTCCTGTAGCAGGGATGTCTGACCTGCGCCCTGCAGGCTGCATGCGGCTCAGAAGCACCTTGAACTTGGCCCAACACAAAATTGTAACTTTACTTAAAACATTACGAGGTTCTTTTGTGATTGCATGTCACCATGTATTGCATGCATGGCCCAAGGCAGCTCTTCTTGTTCCAGCTTGGCCCAGAGACGCCCGAAGTTGGCCACCGAAACTTCTTATATAACAGAGCTGAAGCCATGGGAGCCGTGATTTTGTTTAATCCCTGAGTTCACCGTTAGCCTCTGGGAACTGTCCTCACACACCCTGGCCAGACAGGACTGTTCACATGGAGCCCAAGGGAGTTAAAACTCATGCTTCAGCTATTTCCCCAGTCAGAACGGCCATCTCTCCTTGGGCTTCTGGAGCTCTGTGTGGCTTAGGGCCTCAAAGGGCTTGAGCAGTTCCAGAGGCTCACGTTTAACTTCCTTAAAACCCATCTCAACTGTGCATTCGGGTTCAGTTGGTGGGTCCAGTCACACTTCCCCACTGGCAACTATTTCTGCCTTGGCTCCCTCCACCACAGTATCTCCAGCGTCACCTCTGGACTATTTAGAAGGCCGAAACGCTCCCCGGTGGGGGTCACTGTACATTGGGTGCCTGCATGTAGTAATCCTAAGAAGTTTAGCGTGCTGCTCTTCAGCTAATTCACCCAAACCCTTGCAAAGGTCTTTGAGCCTCGGGGAAACTGCTCTTTGCCATTATAAGCCCTGGGTGTTGAGTTAGTGCTTGTTGCTTTCTGTATACTCTCGAGACCCTTTTGTAAATAGTCCTTTCATTGCCCCAGATTTAGCATGCTATCCCTTCCCTTCATGAGCCAATTCTTGTAAAAACAGGAAAGTATGAGCCTAGTGTGCTTTAACAGAAAAGGCAGCATAAAAACCTACATTCTTTGATTTAAAGAATCAAAGCTAATAAAATGCAATGTTGAAACCAGAGCCTGCGTGCTAGAGTTGGCAATATCAAAGAAGAACCTAGGGGAGGATGAAAGACTTGTTCATCCTAGTACGTGGAGAGTCAGGGCTGGGCTCTGGAGAACGTGGTACAGCAAGGGGAAAGCATGACGCTGGAAATGTCTGCGAGACACGTCGGTGACAGGCTGACACTCTAACACTCAACTCATGTTGGGGCGAAGCCCATTTTCTATCAACTTCTACTCGGTGTGGCAAGGTAAGGGCCTTCCTACTCAGGTAAGGGCCATTCTTACCCGAGTTTTGGTGGAAAGAAAACTGAGTCTCAAAGAAATAGCCCGTGCATGTGCTTTTAAGTAAGACCAAGCAAGGTGATAAAAGCCTAAAACGGCAGAGTAAAACCGTCAAGAAGATAGGAAACTTCAGTAATACGAGAGGCTAAAACCATGAAGGAGTTCAGTCTTGAAATACTAAAATTTTGAACATCTATTAATAAAAAGTGAAAATTCTCATGGGAAAGTTGCCGTGGACCTTATCCATTTCCAGAAATCTGGAGTTAGAGGGCACACTTAGTATTCTGAGAGAAAGTTTATTGTTTAGAGAGGAAAGGAGGGAAAAAGGAGGGAGGAAGGGAGGGAGAATAACAACACCCGAGCTCAGTAGAGGGACCAAAATTTACACAACCAATCACGGAACCTACTGAAAGTAGAAATACAGTCAAATGAAATTTAGGTGACTTTATGATGTTCCACCCACTGGAGTTATTAAGGGTAGGACGTTTGAGACATATACCAAAACTTAATTTTGAGTTACAGAGGGTGGTGAAACAGTCATACAAATGTGCTTTGCTGTTCTGTCAAAGAGAACATGATGCTAAGGTAGTATTCTAGACCAAGGTAGTGTTTCAATAACAGTAACAATAAAAATTATATTTATTGGGAACTTACCTTGCGTTCCCTAGCCCATACTAAGTGTATTGCATGGCTTATGCCTTTAGAGACTTTGAAGAACATAATGCATTATTCTCATTTCGAAGAAGAAAAATAAAACCGGAGGCTTGAAAACATTCAATAACTTTGCCCATGTCATGCAACAAATGCCCAGCGGAATCTCAGTCCCGACATAAGTAACTGCTCTCGAACTTGCTGTCCTGCATTTGGTGCAACATTTCTTGGTGAGAAGTGGTAGGTAAATACACACCTGCGCGCGCACACACACACACACACACACACACACACACACAAATCTTTAACAAACCAGGAGAGTTCAATATCAGGGAGAATAGCTGTTTATTAAGAACATGCAGAAACAATGTTATACAAGATTGTCACATTCAGGATGAGACATTGTTGGTCTTAAAATAGGTGCATCTGAGCCTGGGTTAAAATCACCTGACAGTTGTGTTTTCATTTCCCGTTTCCTAATACTGAACACCAACTCTGAATGCTGAATCAGAAGAAGAGCTGGCAGCTAGTAGTTCATTCCCCAGTCACTGGCTGGCCCCAACACACGTTATAGAACTCTTGAGGACAGCCATATTGTGACAAAGATTGTAGGCTAAGACTCAGCAGTCAGGGACAGCGCAGCACATGGGGCGGGGGCAGGTGGAGATGACACAGGTGGGGCGGTAGCAGTTCGTGTGGCAGGAAACCTGGCCACAGACTGGGCGGAAGCAGCAAGAGGGGCAGCAGCAGGGGCGGCAGCAGCAGCTGGAGCCACAGCAAGAGGGGCGGCAGCAGCCGAAATGAGAGGGCAGCAGCTGGAGCCACAGCAAGAGGGGCGGCAGCAGCTAGAAATGCAGCAGCTGGGGCGGCAGCAGCTGGAGCCACAGCAGCTGGAGCCACAGCAAGAGGGGCGGCAGCAGCTAGAAATGCAGCAGCTGGGGCGGCAGCAGCCCAGGCCGCAGCCCTGGCCAGAGCAGGTGGATCCACAACAGGAGTTGACCATGGTGTCAGAGAGTAGAGGTTCTGGGTGAGTTTCCAGGAGAGTGAGGTTCTTGAGTTTGGGAATCTCCTTGTCCTAGGGCCTCTTAAATACTGCCCAAATGGGGTGAGTTGTCCACACATTTCCTCGTTTTTGTTTACCTAATATTAAGTAATTATCAGATTATACAATCATGTTTATCTACTTAGTAGTGTAAACTTGTTGGAAACAGTACTGTCTCTTCCAGAGGTGGTGGAGTCGATCTGCTTTGCTTTTCTCTGATTCGTCCCTGCTAGCATCTTCCAGACCACACTCTCCCTGTCTTCCTCATTTGGCATTGGGGGTTACATTTTTTTGCTCTTGGTGTCCCCTATCAGGTGTGATTTGGGCAGACGCATTTCTGGTTGCTCATTTCTTCTGGTGACTAATTCGGAGGAAATTAGCATAGCATGGTGCCTGGCCTGAGATAAGAGAAGAATGACCCTCGGGGGTCATTTTCGAGCAGTGAAGAAGGGGACCTGTGTGTGTGTGTGTGTGTGTGTGTGTGTGTGTGTGTGTGGTGTTGGTGACTTCTGCAATTAATTGAAAATATTTTTTGATGGAGAAAAAACAATAAAATGTTGAATAATTAGAGTGTGCTTCTCCTCAGAACTTATGTCCAGAGCTAGGAAATCTATATCACAAGTTTTTCTTTCTGGTTAATTTGAAATGTGAATGGATTTTACTCAATTCAACCTTGTCTAATTATTATTTCTACTTATTTAATGATAATCCAACCAGAGTGCACATTAGAATCACCTGGAGGGCTCATTAAAAATAGTGGGACTGCTCCCAGAGTTTTTTTAAAATATATTTTATTGATTATGCCATTACAGTTGTCCCATTTCCCCCCTTCATTCCCTTCTACCCTGCACACCCCTTTTCCAACATTCCCCTCCTTTAGTTTATGACCACGTGTCTCAAGTTCTTTAGCTTCTATATTTCCCATGGTATTCTTGCCCCCCCCTTCTATTTTCTGCCTATCGTCTATGCCGCTTACTTTCTGTACCTTCTCCCCCCTTCTCCTTCTCCCACTCCCCTGTTGCTAACCCTCCATGTGATCTTCATTTCTATGGTTCTGCTCCTGATCTAGCTATCCTCTTACTTTGCTTTTGTTTTAGGTATGGTTGTTAACAACTGAGTTTGCTGTCCTTTCACTGTTCATATTTTTTATCTTCTTTTTCTTAGATAAGTCCCTTTAACATTTCATAGAATAAGGGCTTGGTGATGATGAACTCCCTGAACTTGACCTCATCTGAGAAGCACTTTACCTGCCCTTCCATTCTAAATGAAAGCTTTGCTGGGTAGAGCAATCTATGTAACATGCTCCCAGAGTTTCTGGTTGCAGGGAGCACATTTCTGGTGACGCTGGAGCTTCTGCTGCTCTGACAAGTACCCGGATGAGGGTGCTGCTGAAGGCCCAAGGGGCCTTAGAGACTGACTCTTATCCAGCTTGTTCACACTCAGATGAAGTGCCCGTGCCAAGTTCCTGCCTCTTCATAAAGCATATTCGTGAAGAGGACCATCTGGCAGACACTATGCGCCAGTCATTGGAGTGACGAATGTGATTTAGTTTTTCCTCCTAGGGAATGTACAGTTTATTGGGAAGACTCTCTCTCTCTCTCTCTCTCAATATTTCTCACTGAAGATTAGTTTTAGTCTAGAGCTTCAAACAGAAGATGTAGTATAATTTCTTCTCTGTCTGGTACCTCTCGCTTGGCATATGTTTCTGAGAATCACTAATGGCCATGCATGAATCATGAGCGTGTTCAGAACTATCCCAGTAAAGTGCCAAGGGTTAATTTTAACTGCTACTAGTCAGTTTTATGGTAGGGAGACCAATGGCCTTGTTTGCTCAGGACTGAAGGGGTCCTCAGAACTCAGGACTCTCAGGACTCTCAGTGTTAAAATCGGGAAAGTCCCGGGCCAACAGAGACACGCTGGTCGCCCTCTGATGACATTCTTACACATCTCAATTAAGACCATTTAAAACTAAGCCCCTGGCAATATTTTTATTACAACAACTTGCTCATCAAAGACTTACATGTTTTTACTTGACAGGTTTGCATTTGCAGAGCTAGAGAATATGAGACATTTAAACAATTATATTGAGAGGTAACAGGGTATCCCAAGGGGGAGAGAATTTTACTCGATTTGCTGTCGATGAGATGCCGAGACAAAAACAACATAATAGAAGAAGGGTTTTGGTAACAAGGGGAGAGTTTTCTATATAAGTTCAGGGAGATTGAGAAAATCTTTCTACAACAGCTGCTAAGGCAGAAGTACATTCTCATTACAGAGAAGCACGTGGAGAATGACCCAGCCCCTCGCCCAGTGGCTCACAGAATTGGCTGCATGTCGGAATCACGGGGGAGTGATCAAAATACTGGTGCCCGGCTCTTGCCCTCAAATACACTGACTTAATTCATCTGGTGGATGGCCCGGGCATCAGAATGTTTAAACACCTCAGGTCATCTTAATCTTAACAATCTTAATCTTAATAACCAATTGGAGACCCACCTCCTTCAACTCTCTGTATTACATGTATTTGCAAAATATTAAATTAGAAACAGAAATAACTAAAGTATTAAAATATAATTGGTAACATCTAAAATGGCAGGAAAAATGACCCTGAACTTGAAACACTGAACTTTGAGACATGTCACACAGAGACATTGGTAATCTCTTCCCTTTTAGATCATTCTAATGGGGGGGGCAGTGAGGGGTGGACTGCAATGGGAAATTCCAATACACAGCACACTGGATGTTCTTAAAAAATCAAAACCAAACTCAGGAGAAACATCACTCTGTGCACTCCCTGCTAAAACCTTTTTCCTGTAGTCTGGCAAAGTAGAATTGATAACTAACATCAGGACCACACACGCCAAGTACGTATTGTCTATCTAAACTGTACCTCTTTTACTGCACAGAGTAGATGGAATGTAATACTTTTTGTTTGTATACTTTTTTTCTTTTTAAACCCATTTCTCTGTTTTTTTCTTTTTTTGGAATTCTACAATAAAGGACCCTGGTTAGGCAAACAGCAGGAAGTGACAATGAAGTGGACCCAACCGATGTTTGCAGTCACTACCGAGGGCCCTGCCCGCATCTCCCAGGGACCAGACACGGCACGTTAACATGCGGTTTAAAGAATGGCAGGAAAAATGGCTTTTATCGTCAGGTTTGGCCTATATCACATTAGCAATCCACTAAGTGAGTTGTAGCGACTTAGTGGTAATTTCATATTAACTAGTGTATGTGTAAGTCAAGCAATATATTTAAAGGATATAAATGCCCATATACTGCTTAATTTAATCTTTCTTTTAAAATATTAAATGGAGTAAGCATTTCAGTTCATCCTAAGAAACCATGGGTATTAAGGAACGCTATATATACTACTTTCCCCCTAGATGTACATAGCTTTGATAAAGTTTAATTTATAAATTGGCTCAGGAAGAGATACATACACAAAACTAATAATAAAATAGAACAATGATAAGACTATACCGTAATAACAGTTATGTGAATGGGGTCCCTTGTCAGACTAACACAAACTTCTTGTTTCGTCATCACAACTTATAGATGGATGATCCACTCTTACTGTAGATCTTAGCCACTTCAGCATTCAATTTTTTTTTCTTATTAAGAACTTTCATAGAGAGGAAGTTCTTTCTGGCTTTTCTTGGGTGTATCAGAATCGCCAGCATCACTGCCCTTGAACTTTGGGGCCCTTATTAAGTAAATACAGGCGACCTGAACACAAGCACTGCAATAGCAAGACAGTGCATCTGACAACTGAGGCAGCTACTAAATGACTCACGGGTGGATGGTGAACAGAGTGCAGATATGCTGGGCAAAGGGATGACTCACCACCCAGGTAGGATGGAACAGGACAGCACCAGGTTTCATCCTGCTACTCAGAACAGCAGGCAATTTAGAACTTATCAATTGTGTTCTGGAATTTTCCCTTTACTATTTTTAGACCATGGTTGATTGTGAGTGACTAAAACTACCAAAAGCAAAACCTGGGATTTGAGAGGGCACTACCGTACACTGAAAAGTATATAAAATATGCATGCATAATGTAATATAAATAATTATGAAGCAAACATCTACGCATCCCGACACCCAAGTCAAGAAACAGGGCATCACTCTCTCCAACAGGGCCCTCGATGTGTCTTCTCTCCACCCCATCTCTCTCCTTCCACCCACAGGTACTCGCTGTCCTGATTTCTAAATTCACCTTTCCCCTGATTGGTTTTATAGTTTTATCACCTAGGTATGCACCCTAAACAATACAGTTTAGTTTACATGGTTTTGAATTTTAGGTAAGTGGAATCTTAACACAGGCATTGTGTGTGTTTATTCTTTCACTCAGCAGTGTGTACGAGGTGAGGCAGGCAGCCTCAGATGGCCCAGCGATGTCTGCCTCCCAGGGTTCACGGTGTTATGTATTTCCCTCCCTGTGAGTAATTTGCTTCTAGTAACATCAAGTGATTAAGTTACGAGGGACTGTGACTTGCTTCTTGTTAGCCAGCTTTCTCTCTCCCTCACTGGCTATGACGAGGTACGCAGCTGCGTGGCAGAGATACACACGCGTGTGGCAGAGGTGCGCACCTAGGTGGCAAAGCACAGAGAATCGTCTCCATATGACAGCAGCAAGGAACGAAGGCTGTGGCTCTAAAGGCCCTCCAGGAACTGAATCCTGTCAACTACCATGTGAGGGAACTTGGAATTGGATTCTCCCTCGGTCAAGACTTTGGATGAGATGCCAGCTAACACCTCTCGTTCAGCGTTGTGAAAAGATGATGAAACACAGAGGCCTGCTGAGCTGTGTCCGGATTCTCAATCCACAGTGTAAGTGACTTAATGGGCATGTTACTCCTACAGACAGCTGGGGCTCAATCCCACGGCCGACCTCCAGCAACTGGAACCGCATATACTGCCCCAGAGGAAAGGAAGCTACGTCATTGACCAAAACTTCCTGTCCACTGATTGGGCGGTGCTCCTAGAGACGGCACCTCTGACTGCGGCCTGCCCAGAGTCTGCTCCTTGATCCAGAGACAGTCCCCAGGTCAGGTGCCTGCTGTGAGAAGCCCTCTCTCTATAATAACATGAGGATGATGTGGAAATAGAGTCAGAAATCCTGAAATCTCCTGCTAAACTCTGCCCTCTGTGGAGAACAGCAGAATGATAGACAGATAAGCATGAGGATTCCAGAAGGAAAAATGAGACACAATGCTCTTGTATTTGCATGCCTAGAAAATGAAGATTTATTTAAGATTTAGGAACATCTCCTATGACAAAATCTGACAGGGAAGAAATATGTCAATTGGGATGACATATTGGTTGAAGATTTTCAGACAAAATTCAAACTTTCCTTTCATGTGGGAGAGAGATCGTAACATGTTGGGGGCGGGCAGTAGTATATTTAGAAGCCAAAATCAGTTTATGAATCAATTGGACCTGAGGTTTTACAATTGGCCGCCCATGACTCATTTCAGGTGGACAACATTAAGAAGATGGGTTGACAAAAACCAGGTGTGCACAGGCCCGGGCAATCAGCAGCAGGAACCACTAGAACAGACTGGGCGGCAGCAGGTGGTCTGGCAGCAGGTGGTCTGGCAGCAGGTGGGGCGGCAACAGCTAGAGATGCCACAGGTGGGTCTGCAGCAGCTGGAGCCACAGCAAGAGGGGCGGCAGCAGGTGGAAATGCAACAGGTGGGGCGGCAGCAGGGAGTCTGGTAGCAGGTGGGGCGGCAGCAGCTAGAGATGCCACAGGTAGGTCTGCAGCAGCTGGAGCCACAGCAGCTGGAACCACAGCAAGAGGGGCGACTGCAGCTGGAAATGCAGCAGGTGGGGCGGCAGCAGGTGGTCTGGCAGCAGGTGGGGCGGCAGCAGCTAGAGATGCCACAGGTAGGTCTGCAGCAGCTAGAACCACAGCAGCTGGAGCCACAGCAAGAGGGGCGGCAGCAGCTGGACACACAGCAGCTGGGGCGGCAGCAGGTGGTCCTACAGCAGGTGGTCTGGCAGCAGCTGGGGCGGCAGCAGGTCTCCTGGCCGCAGCCCTGGTCAGAGCAGACAGATCCACAACAGGAGTTGACCATGGTGTCTGAGAGTGGAGGTTCTGGTTGAGTTTTCAGGAAGGTGGGTTTGGAAGGTTTGGGAGTCTGCTTGTCCAAGTCCCCTTTTATACCCTGCTAGGGGGCTGCTGTCATCAGACAGAGTGCTCTGTCCTTGTCATTGTTTGTCCTAATTAACAGGTGATTATCAAGTTTGTTTTCCTGGTTAACTTTTTCAAAATGGGTAGGAAACATTGTTTACTTTTCCTGATGGGTTACGATGTATCACTTGAGCTCCTCCTGAATCACCTCTCACTTGCCTGTCTTGCTGCAGCTTCTTCAAAGAGAGCTGTCACGTGTTTATGTCTCTAGAAAGTGTATGTGTCAGTCTCACATTACACAGCACCGCACATCTCCCCCAGGGGTGATAAATATTCTAATGAGCTGCATTTTAGCTTGATGGCTCATTCCTTGTGGGTCAGGTGGGTGGAGAAGTTTTGAATGTGAAACCGGGCATCGCTGGCATGAGAATACGGCTCTTAGGACTTTTCCCTCCCTGTTGCGCATCACAACCCATTTTCTAGACTTTCGGGTGGGAAACAAATAACTTCTGGGGAGGAAAAGTAAGTGTTTCTTCTTTTCCTTCAGCTTTATGGAGGTACACTCAATCTACAAAAAAGTCACGCATGTCTGCTGTATCTATTTTGATGACTTTGCACGCACTGCATTACTGTTTCCATAATTAAGGCATAAACCTACTCATCGCCACTACAGAGTTCTTGTGTGGCCCGTGTTGTGCGTGTGTTAACAACACTTAACGTGAGGTCTCCTCTCATAACGAGTGTTTAAGTTGCATCATACTGTCATTGCTAAAGCTACAGGCACAGGGGTGTAGAGCAGATTTCTAAAATGTATTCATCGTATGTGTCTTTCGCTTTGTACCTATTGAACAACCACTGCCCATTTCCCACTTCCCCCAGTTCCTCAAACCACCATTTTATTCTCTGCCTCTGAATTGGACTACAAGTGGTACCTCGGTATTGTAGTTAATTCTTTCCGGAACTTGTGAGGACTGCCCAAACCAATGAGTACCTACGATGAAGTATTTTCTCTTGGAGGGGGCAGTGTTGTGACTCATACAAGTCCCCGAATGTGTGATGCATCTCAAGCAAGCGCCGAGTGCTGAGACAGTTATTTCTCATCAAAATGTAACGAGGACAGGGTTTGACGAGTTCTGAAGCCGACGAGTCCCAAGGTGTGACTGCACTTGAAATATCTCAGCGAGTGGAATCACGCATTTCTGCTTCTGTGGCTGATTCTGCTTAGCATAGTGTCTTCTAGATCCATTTATGTTGTCGCAAATGGAGGGATTTACTTAAGGCTGAATAACATACACTTTCTTTTTTTTAATTTTTATTTTATTGATTATGCCATTACAGTTGTCCTATTCCCCCCTTCATTCCCCTCCACCCTGCACCCCCCACCCCTACTATTCTCCCCCTTTAGTTTATGACCATGTGTCTCAAGTTCTTTGGATTCTATATTTCCCATACTATTCTTGCCCTCCTCCTATCTATTTTCTACCTACTGTCTATGCTACTTATTTTCTGTACCTTCTCCCCCCTTCTCCTCCCACTCCCCTGTTGCTAACCCTCCATGAGATCTTCATTTCTATGGTTCTGCTCCTGATCTAGCTGTCCTCTTAGTTTGCTTTTGTTATAGATGTGGTTGTTAATAACTGTGAGTTTGCTGTCCTTTCACTGTTCATTTTTTTAATCTTCTTTTTCTTAGGTAAGTCCCTTTAACATTTCATATAATAAGGGCTTGGTGATGATGAACTCCTTGAATTTGATCTTATCTGAGAAGCACTTTACCTTCCCTTCCATTCTAAATGAAAGTTTTGCTGTATAGAGCAATCTTGGTTGTAGGTCTTTGGATTTCATGACTTAGAATACCTCTTTCCAGCCCCTTCTTGCCTTGTAAGGTCTCTTTTGAGAAATCAGCTGACAGTCTGATGGGAACTTCTTTGTAGGTGACTGTCCCCTTATCTCTTGCTGCTTCTAGGATTCTCTCTTTCATTTTAATCTTGGCTAATGTAATTATGATGTGCCTTGGTATGTTTCTTCTTGGGTCCAACTTCTTTGGGATTCTCTGAGCTTCCTGGATTTCCTGGAAGTCTTTCCTTTGCCAGCTTGGGGAAATTCTCCTTTATTATTTGTTCAAATAAGTTTTCCACTGGTGGCTGTTCCTTCCCCCCTTCTGATACCCCTATAATTCGGATGTTGGAGCGTTTAAAGATGTCCTGGAGGTTCCTAAGTCTCTCCTCATTTTTTTTGAATTCTTGTTTCTTCATATTTTCCTGTTTGGTCATTTTTTCCTTCCTTCTGGTTCACTTCCTTGATTTGAGTCCCAGTTTCCTTTTCATTACTATTGGTTTCCTGTGCAATTACCTTAATTTCAATTAGTTTAGCCTTCATATGTTCCTCTAATTTGTGACTAAAATCAACCAGTTCTGTGAGCATCCTGATCACCAGTGTTTTGAACTGTGCATCTGAAAGTTTTGTTATTTCTTCATTGCTTAGAGTTATGGGCTCTGGGGCTTTGAGATCTTCTTGAGCCATTTTTGGTCTGTTTGTGCCCATTAAGTATGAGGAGCGGAGCCTTAGGGGCGGGGCAGGGCCTCCAGGGTGGGGTCGCTGGGTTGTGACGCTGTATGTGGGGGTGGGGTCAGAGCTGGGAAATGGCAGCCCTTTCTGCTGCCTCCCGTCACTGGGACCCGTTCAGTCCCGTCTCACTGTCCACTCCCTCACCGGTCTATCTGTGCAGGAATGTGCCACCACAGTCAATTTGCTGCCCTTCACCCTTGCTGGATCTGCTGGTTGCTCACTGGGTCGCTCACTGGGTCGGCCCTTTGCAACCCCACACCTGGGATCCGTGCTCCTGAGTCCATCTGACCGAGTTTTCCTGTGCAACCCCACTCCGCCAGCTGCTGGTTTCGCCCCTCTTACCGGTCAGGCTGAAGCATTCATTGTTATCAGAGTTCTGAAAAGTTCAATTTTCTGTGTTCTGGCTATGTTTTCTGTTGCTAATATTTTATTGTCTCTAAACTTGGTTGTGTGAGAAAGTGCAGCATCTCCACCTATGCCTCCATCTTGGCAGAAGTCTCACATACACTTTCATTGAGGTATCAGTGTTGGCATTTACAGTTCAACGGCAATATTGATTGGCAGTGAGTGTGACTTACACTGAAGTTAATATCATGCAAACATCTATGTCTTTTTCATCACAAACAGCTTCAGTCTTTCTTCTAGATGTGCAGCAGACAGACCCAAACCAGTAGTTCTCAACCCCCTCTTCCGCCTGACACCCAGAGAAACATGGCCCCATTAATGACGGTGTGCCTGGGAAGAGGTGCTGAGAGGGAATACAACATCAGGGTACGTGGGTGGTTCGGATCAATCCTCCCAAGTAATTTAAATACATTCACAGCTCCCCAGACGTATGCGCCATGTACATGGATAACTACCCACCCAGGTCTAAGGAGGCTTTGACAGTTCATCCTGTGAGGTCCGGTGTCTTGTGCAAGGGTGTCTACAGCTTTTCGAATCTCAATTCTGTCTCCCCTAACTTTATGGCCTCCAAATATTTTGATGACAAGACTCGTATATTTTATTTTATTTCTCATGTCCACATGTTAGGAGAAAACTCTCAACCAAGCTGAGATGCCCTTGGCCCTGTTCTCAGGATAACCAGTCCAGGACAGGAATGGCTCTCGGGAACTATCCTGAAGTTGACAGTGATGCCCATTGGCAGAACAGGCCACAAAAACAGATTTTAAGGGAGTGTCCCTCTCTCCCTGACTTTCCTTGACTCCTGGGGATAAATGTGTAAAGGAGCCAGCCGGTGATCTGTCAGCACCCCTCATTTTTAGAAACACTAGTCAGTTGGTCAGATGATTGCTGGATGTGAGAGGTTGGCTTGCCCTAAATTACTGTAATGAGCTGATAGTGGATAAGTGGGTGTCTGGTAGGATCTAATCTGAGTCACCATGGGGAATGTGGTTTGTGGAATGGCAGCTATGTAGGCAGTCAGTGGAGGGATTTAACGACAAGCTAGTGTCGCAGAGGAAGAATCAAAACCCAGACAGAAAAGACTGAGTAAAATGAGGGAGGATTCCTTTGTGCCTTAGATGACTTATAAATCTAATAAACCATACTCATCGTGGGGGGATTTTGGGCCAATTTTCACTTCTGCCCTGGCTTGAATTTTGGGAGACACAAACAGGATAACAGCTTGGGATTCTGATCAGCCCCTCCGGCAGGTGTGGCCGCCTTGTCATAGCTCCGATGAGCCCGGGTACAGCGTTTCATCAGAAATGTCCTGAGCCTCTTCTTGTGTCACAGAAAGATGAAGGAACAAAAGCAGATTTCAGGTTGTGGTGAGAGGCTCATTATGGAGTCTGAAAACACTCTGAGAATTCCATTAGACCTTTTCTTCGGGGGAAAGAGCACCTCCAAGGAGCCCGGATGAGGGAGTCCTACTGATAAATACCGTTTCTATTTATATTAATTTACTCTATATGTTTCTCATAGTGCACGTTTCTTAGGATTGTCTTAAAACCATGTTTCTAAATGCCTCATGATTTCTTCTAGTACATAAACAGTTTCGTTTTTTATTGAGTTTTTCACCCAAATGGAATTGGTTTTGGTTTAGCGAATGCATAATTAGCTCCCTCCTTTCTTTATCCAGAAGTGAACTAGCTTTCCTATTTAATTTTTATAAATGTCTTTATTTCCATAGTGACTTTAAACTGAAATTTTAGTCTATTTAATTCCTATACTCCTTGGGTCTATTTTGGAGTCTACTTGGGACACACCTCACTGGGTGAATGTCCCTGGGTGGGGGGGTCTCATGTGATTCTCGGTCCTACAAATCCATAAATGTATGACTGTATCGAAGTCTCCTTTACTTGACTATTTTTTCTTTTACGCCTATCTGTGTTCATGATTTCATTTGAGAATTGATGGTTCTCAGGATTAGTCATGTAAAATCACAATTTTTAAAATTATCAACTTTCATCATAAATGTCCCTTTGTGATCATCCAAAGCAGAAAAAAATCCAAAGTAAAATGCCCAGCTGTGCATGCTGAAAAGGGAATTCTGCTGAGATAGGTTATGACTTAGGAAAGTGCTATAGAACTTTGGGGAAATTATTTTTCTCTACAGCTATATTTCCAAGTCAATGCTAAATTTATCATATCTCCTAAATCTTGAACATAACTAAGTAGGCTACAGGGATATATACAACCTTTATGTCTATACTTCTATCAAATATTTACCCACTGCAAGCCTGTCTTCCTTTCAGAAATTAACTAAGACATAAGCTGATAATTATCCAAAAAAGTGGCATTTTAATTCTCAGAAGGAACGTGGTTCTCTTGCAAGAAAGACTAAACTATCAGAACTCTTTAGTCCCAGAAGAAAACAAATGGGTTTATAATGAAACTTTTAAAAAGCCACAAGGAAGAGGAGGTGAATAAAACAGATACAATTTCCTAAATCCAACCTCATTCGAATTAGACAATATGTCTTGAAACTGAAAAGTGGCAGTATTTGCCTGCAAGCAGGAAACCTCAAAAAACTTTCCCAAAGAAATGAATGAATGAGTAAATGAAAGAGCAAATAAATGAATCTGAGCTTGAACCAGTTAAGATGTTCTTTGCAGGTGAAATAGTAGAACGAACCAAACTCTGTGTGCCCATCACACGGGACAGCTGTTGGTATACCGAACAGCTCGCGTGATCTCCGGGAGGTGATGCTGAGCGTAAAAAGCCAGTAGCCAAAGGTTACGCGCTGTGAGTTTCCATTTGTAGAACATGCTGGAAACACAGCCGTAGAGATGGAGAGCGGAGTGGTGGCCTGGGGTTCCGGGTGATGAGCGGGCGGGAGTGGCTGTGGCTGCAGAGAAGCCCCAGGGAGGACAGTTCTGTATGTTAATGGTGATAGTGGTTACTCAAATCTACACAGGACACATGATTTTACTGCGTAGAACTGCACACACTTACATGCACACACATACTCACACATGTAACACTGGTAAATTCCAAACAGGATCGGTGGTTTGTACTAGTGTAAATTTCTGAGTTTTGACATGTGCCATGAATAAGATGTGACCAGTGGGGGAAATTGGGTGAAGGGTACGCAGGATGTTGCTGAACTCTTACAACTTTCTGTGCAATTATAGTTATTTCAAAGTAAAATGTGAAATAAGGTTAATTGTTGGTAAAAGAGAATATGCTTATATTTGCATACTGTTCCTCTGTATCACCTTTTAGTATTTGTGACCACTTTATTTTATCTTATGCCACACAACACACAGGTGAGAAGGAAGGGATCAGAAGGTGCAGAGAAGTGGAGATGGTAGAAGAGATACAGTCCTAAGGCCAGAAAATCCAACTCACTGTACCCCCTAGGACAGCTCAGGGGTCCACCGTGTACTGATGTAACAAGGCATGAACAGGTGGGGCAGTCCCGGCATATTGAGAAATTCAGCAGGGACTGTTTAAAGTTGACACTTGTGATAGGGAATATTGTCACAGAACTTTGCGCCACAGAAGTAGTAGGGATGATAATATCCCCAAATTACATGTCTGATGAGTAGCAACTTTGGAATGACGACCAGGGCAGAGTGATGTGTGAGCAACAGTGAGCTATCAGTGTGGACAAGAGAGCTTGGTGTCCCTCAGAAAAGGGTATGCACAGCTAACAAGGATACAGCTTTGTACACAAGGGGGGGATCACCCCCCCAAAACAGAATTATCTTCTGGAGGGTGGGCCCCTTGTAATACAGGCTTCCCCCACTAGACGAGTATTCTAGGAACCCATCTGTATCAGTGCACCAGCTGGTGTTGTTGTGAGAGGCTGCGTTCAGCTTCAGTAAATTTATTTTGCCCATTTCAAGATGGGTGACTGACTAGCACACCCATCCACACTGCGCTGAGTGCTCAGCAATTTTTGGCCCAAAACAGCCTGACCCCCATTCCCCACCCTCCCTATTTACCAGATCTCACCCCAAGTGACTTTTCTTTGTTTCTGGGTTAAAAAAATCCTCAAAGAGAAATGTTTTACGGATATGGAAGAGGTGAAACAACAAATGGCAGAAGCACTTTTAAAAGGCATCAAGATCTACGAGTTCAAAAACTGTTTGATCAGTGAAAAAAAGGTCTCAATAGGTGTATTGCATCAAATGGAGGGCACTTTGAAGGTGGCTGAAGTTTAAACATGTAAGAATAAATACACAATTTTTTATAAATAAATTCTAGTTCTGGAGGGGGGCAGGTACGTGTGTGTGTGTGTGTGTTTAAAAACATTTAATAAATGAGCAAAAGGCTGAGGTCAGTGAACCAGTGGAAAATCATGACCCCTCACCCAGGTTCCAGAGCTGATCCAGCTCTCACACCCCCAAAGCATGGACCCACCAAAACAGTCCAGTCCTCCAAGACAAAGGACCACCGAAGTGTATAAAGTAGTTATCTCTCCAGTCCTTTCCCAAAGGAATCTACGGCTACTTTCCTTAGGAAAGACTGGGACACCCCTATATTTGGATGCAGTTGGAGACAAGGTCTGAATTTACAATGACAAATACCCAAAATGCCAACATGGTCCCTTGGTACAATACATTAATCCAGAAGCCCAGGGTTGAAGGAGGAGTTGCTCTGCTCATACTCACCTTCCCCACCATGATCGACTCTAGGGAATCTACGCCTTCCTCCCCCATAACTGTAGGCTCTGGGCTTCTAGATGTCTTAGCTCTAACAGCAAAGACCTACCTCTAAAGAGACAGAGTAAAGGTCTGGTTGGAATTTAAGCTATGACTGCCACCTAATTCCTTTGAGCTGCTAGCACAAAGGATATCAGCAGGTGAAGGAAGAAGCAATGGGGTCACAGAAGAGTATGTTTAGCATTTAGGTGATCACCTGAGGGCATTCTTGGTATTTCTATGTCCAGTTTTAATTGATTTGGGACAAGTTTAACAGCTGCAGTGGATGAGGACATAGTAACCAAGGACTCAGAATCCTCAGGGACAAGGATTTGGTCCCTCTACCTGGCAGACCTACTAGAACGGCAGGGGTGCTGCCCACAAACTCTCCTCTTATAAGTTTCCAAAGAAACGGGAACTGACCAGTTGGACTGAGCTTAGTGGAAAGATGCATGGGCCTGAACAGCGTTTGGGGGAGACTATGTTACACCCCATCCAGATAGATCCCTTTTGCCATAAGCACCACTTCCCCAAGCTAGTCTGAGTGTGGACTAGTGTGAGTGTGGCGAACACTGGTCAACCCGCGTGCTCTCCAGGTTACTGTTTTCCCCTAAAGGAGCCCCCACCCCTCACGGTGTGGCCCTCCACCCCTTCTCCCCAACAGGGTGGGCCAGAGCTAGTGAGGACTGGTGTAGGAGTACAAAGCCCCAGCCACCTTGCCTCTGGGGGGAGGTGGAGTGGTGGTCTGTGGTACTTACTGTTTACATCACTAATCTGTGGGGTCAGATGATCTTATAACTTCACTGCAGCCATAGTTTGGCCTCTCTTCTCTTACTCTCCCATCCTGATTCCCTCCATTTCTTAATGGTTTCTTCTCCCGAGAGCACCTTCTGGTACATCACCTGGGCAAGAACCCTCATGTTGAGCTCTGCTTTTAATAAACCCAACCTAGGACAGACAGGTTGGGGTGAGAGGTGCTAACGTGCTGAGCTGTGTTACTTGCGGGTGTGCCCTGCCTCTCAGACATGATGAATTGAGACAAACAAGTGAAGACCACGCGTCTAAAAATAGTTGTGGAAAAAATGGCAACAAGAAAGAGCAAATGTTGAAAAGGCGTAGTGTTTCAATTGACAATAATTCAAGGCTGGACCGTGACCGCATGGCAACCACTCATAATACATGAAAAATGTTTTGAGGACACTGGTAATGAGATTTAGAACACCGGTGTCTTAGATGGAGTGCCCTTGGGAGCAGACCCCAAAACAGGGGATTTAATAAACTAAAATCAAATAGTTTGTTAGGGAGAGAATACTAGGAAGCACTGCAGGGAATGTGGGAAGTGGCCCAGGGAATTGATAGAAGTCAACATAGAATGACGTAATGAGGAAATTGCTCCTGGAAACAGCTGGGGTTCATTCCACTGAGGCCCATTAGAGACTGGCCCCAACTTAAGGGGAGAGTATCGACCCTTCCCATCCATTGGTTAGGCACAGTTCCTGCAGACTTGAACTCCCTAGCCGGCACAGAACTTGTGCCTTCATCCAGAGGAAGGGCTCAGGCAGAGAATTCCAGGAGCTTGCTGTAAGAAACCATCTTATTATTATAAATAAGGATGATGAGGGAGTACAGTTGAAAATCCTGATATCAACTAGTATAGTCTCCTCTCTGCAAAGAACAGTGGGACAATCGACAGCTGAGAATGATGAGTCAAGAAGAAGTAACAATCAGACACAAGGCTCTTGTATGCCTGGAAAATTAAGATTTATTTAAGATTTAGGATTGGATGCATATGAGAATATCTGGCAGGGAAGAAATATATAAATTGGGATGATATGTTGGTTGAAAGATTTCAGAGAAAATTCAAACTTTGTGTTCATTTTGGAGAGAGATAGTAACATGGTATGGAGGGCAGTATATTTAGAAGCCAAGATCAGGTTAAGAATAAGTCAGACCTGAGGTTTTACAATTGGCCTCTGGTGACTCATTTCAGTTGGACAACATTAAGAAGATGGGTTGGTGAAAACCAGGTGGACACAGGTCAGGGCAATTAGCAGCAGGAACCACTAGAACAGACTGGGCGGCAGCAGCTGGTCTGGCAGCAGCTGGGGCGGCAGCAGCTAGAAATGCAGCAGGTGGGTCTGCAGCAGCTGGAGCCACAGCAGGAGGGGCGGCAGCAGCTGGACACACAGCAGCTGGGGCGGCAGCAGGGAGACTGGCAGCAGGTGGGGCGGCAGCAGCTAGAGATGCAACAAGTAGGCCTGCAGCAGCTGGAGCCACAGCAGCTGGAGCCACAGCAAGAGGGGCGGCAGCAGCTGGACACACAGCAGCTGGGGCGGCAGCAGCTAGAGATGCAACAGGTAGGCCTGCAGCAGCTAGAACCACAGCAGCTGGAACCACAGCAAGAGGGGCGGCAGCAGGGAGTCTGGCAGCAGGTAGGGCGGCAGCAGCTAGAGATGCCACAGGTAGGCCTGCAACAGCTAGAACCACAGCAGCTGGAGCCACAGCAAGAGGGGCGGCAGCAGCTGGACACACAGCAGCTGGGGCGGCAGCAGGTGGTCCTACAGCAGGTGGTCTGGCAGCAGCTGGGGCGGCAGCAGGTCTCCTGGCCGCAGCCCTGGTCAGAGCAGACAGATCCACAACAGGAGTTGACCATGGTGTCTGAGAGTGGAGGTTCTGGTTGAGTTTTCAGGAAGGTGGGTTTGGAAGGTTTGGGAGTCTGCTTGTCCAAGTCCCCTTTTATACCCTGCTAGGGGGCTGCTGTCATCAGACACAGTGCTCTGTCCTTGTCATTGTTTGTCCTCATTAACAAGCGATTATCAAATTAGCTAAGTTTGTTTTCCTGGTTAACCTTTTCAAGATGGATGCATAATGTTTCCTTTTCCTCGTGGATTAGGATTGATCCCCCTGACTCTTCCTGCATCATACCTTGATGGTCTTCCTTTGTGTGATCGTCCTTGGTTCCCAGGCTGGTAAAGTACTGTATGCTGAGTGTGCTGACTCTCACTCCATCTGCTCTTTCCTCCTGAGTCACCTCCTGTCATTCCTTCCTGGAGGCATCACTTAGGTCCACAGATATTGCAGCTCTTCCCACAGGGCAGTTGTTACGTAGACCTTGACATGAAATAGTCCACATGTACCCATCTGTGGGTCTTCCCCATGCCCACAATTTTTGCAGCATTACTTACAGGGAAAAGATTTAGCCACACAGCCAAAGGATAGAATCTTAACATGGAAAACAAGGTAAAGTCCATCAGCGTGGTCAATTGTTAGCAAAAAATAGTCAGTCAGCAGGTCAGGAGAATGTCCAAGACACCCAGACTGTGTTCTCGTCCCATTTCCTGGACTTGAAAATATTGGCAGATTTCCTCTTTTTATACAACAGATGTACCTGGAACGGATATAGCCCTGCAGAAATCACCACTGGCATTGATAAAGTGCTTATGTTACTGAAAATATTTATATTTATACACAAAATAGAATATACAGTATAACTTCAATTAGGTAAAAAGAAAGTATATAGAAAAATATTGACATAATTACTAGAAATAGTAGTAATTATTTCTGATAGATAGGCTTATGGGAACTTTTCATTTTCTTCTAACACTTTTTTCTTCTAGTTTTTCTTTGATGACTTGTTTTCCTTTTGTAAACAGAAAAAAATTAGAAGTCTTTCATGCTCCTACACTCTTTTGAGATCTTCTGGGGGAAGAAGAAATTTTCCTTGACCCTCCTTGGTTTTCCCTGCTGATCTACTAACTAAGTTTATATGAGATAGATTAACAAGAGAAAACAACCAAATTTAATGACATGTCTGTGTGTGGGAACCCCCCCACACATGAAAGATTGAGGGGCCAAAGGTTAAAATGAGGTGTCCTTGGCATCCTGACTTTAGGACAAGGTGAGATGCCTTGTGGCTTTAGACAGGTGGAAGGTCATTTGTAGAACAGTAAGAAGAGCAACTGTTCAATAACTAGAAGTTTTCTCTACCCTACAGATAGGTCATAAGAACTCATTTTTGGTAATAACTCTTACCATGGGCAAGGCCCCTCATTTAAATGCTTCTAGGTTGTTAAGCTTCCCATGAGCCTAGAGGATCTTGGTTGCCTTTAGGTCAAAATAACCTGCATATCATACAGACAGATCTTGGGGTGAGTCATTCTGAACCCCTCCAGTGTCTGGGGCTGATGGTTGGGGCATCACAGACCAGCGTGCGGCTCGGTCAGTAGCACCAGTGCAGCTTGGCTGGTGGTTAAAGTACTGAAGCTCTGTTGGTGAACACCACTGCCCTGGGCCCCCACCACGTCCCTGTGATCCAGAGGAAAACGTTAAAGCCAAGAATCCGAGAGAGGGCTTTGGGCTCCTCCTCTAGGGCTAAGCCTGTGTCTAGTTTGATGAATTAGTGACTTTGAGCAGCTGGTTTTTAAAGTTTTTGAATCTCAATCCTGCCCTGGAATGTAGATTGGGGCTGCCCAATGGTACACATTTCACAAGAGAGCTTTCCATAAGCAAATATACCTGTAAGTTACTCAGTGGGCAAGAAAGCAGTGCCTGCTGGGAGGGAAGGGACTCACTGTGAACTGGAAGTGGAAGCCACGAGTCCCAGGCAGGGGCACAGTGCCAGGCCTGATTCTCGGTACACAGACCATCAAACAGTCTGACTCAGAAGATCTGGGGAGGAGCCTAGACTTCCCTTCACTATTCTTTGTAGTTCCCGGAGTAGTTCTGTGCATAGCTAGAGGCTCAGGTTTCCAAAATGAGAGACCGAAGTTTTAAGTGGAGCTGTAGCAACTGGACGACTTAAAGAATGAAGCAGAGGCACCTGTGGAACCGGCTTAAATGGGGCATGTTGTGTGCAGGTGGGGGGCTCTGGAGAGGGCTTCAGGGAGGAAAATAATTTTACCTCTGCCCTTCTAGGTTCAGGCTGACATGCTCCTGTAATAAAAGAGGGATGAGCAGGAGAAAAACAGAAGTTGAATGGCATGTACACCTCCTGTATACATGGGAAGTACTCTGGAAAACCAAGTCCCCCAAATGGCACACATCTGCACCTTAAATACCATCTCCAGTTAAAGGTTGTGGGGGCCAGTCGGGGGGAGTTATCAGGAAAGGCTCAGCAATCGGTTGTCATGCAGGTCCGGGTTACCTTTTCTGTTGAGATTTACCGGTAGGCACACTTCTCTGGTACAGGGAGGGAGAAACCCTTACAGAGATTTTCCTTAAAAATGTAAATGTCTCTTACGAAAAAGTAACTTCTCAGTTTTCAGGGCTTCTTCTGCTCTGCTGTTGTTTAAAATAATCACCCTCTGGGAATTCTTATGCCCAAAAGGCATATTTTGTGGTGGGTCACACACTCTACTCCCTCTTCAGGTAATAGGTGCAAATAACCCAGGAACGTTAGAAAAGATGTTTAAATCAACTTGTAATGAAGAACATGCCACTTAAAGCAACCAAATACTATCTTCTTTTCAGATTGGCATAAATAAAATAAAATAAATAAATAGCAAGCTTGACTGGTGGCATTTAGAAAAACCAGCAGGTTTAGAAATGTGTTTTGAAAGTGTAAATGGATATCATCACTCTTTGCAGGATGGTGTGGGAGTGATTATTAAAATTATAAGACAAATCTCTAATCCAGTAATCCCACTCTGAAATTCTGAAGGCCGTCTTTCCTTATTTTCCTTTGTGGCACCTTCTCCTCTCTTGATCTTTCAATGTTGAAATACCCGCAAGTTGAAATACCCGCAAGGCTCTGACTTTGCCTCTTTTTTTAAGATTTTATTTATTTATCTTTAGAGGGGAAGGGAAGGAGAGAGGAAGAGAAACATCAATGTATGGTTGCCTTTCATGTGTCCCCTGCTGGGAATTGGCCTGCAGGGAACTGGTCTGCGACCCAGGCATGTGCCCTGACTGGGAATCGAACCGCGATTGTCTGGTTCGCAGGCCCGTGCTCAATCCACTGAGCTACACCAGCCAGGGCTTGCTACTTGATATCTTTATTGGGGTGAATAACATTCATCTCCAGTTGATGTGGTCAGAACAGAAGTCTTGGTCTCCTTCTTCCCCCAGATTGATTCTCTCTCAGTCTTCATATCAGTGAATGACACATTTGTAGGTTTAGTTGTTAATTTAAAATTCTAGATGGCCTGTGCTTAATCCCTTTACTTGCCATTCACATCGAGGTCATGGTCTCCACTCTGTCCCCAGAACATTTGCTAATGCATTTACTTCTCTCTGCTTTGCCACAGTCTTTGTCTGGGAGCTATCTGCTCCCACGTGTACTAATGTGATCATCTCTTAATGAGTCCCTCAGCTTTCTCCTTTGCTCATCTATGCTCCGTTCTCAGAGAGCAGTCACAGTTCTTCTTGTCCTTAAAATCTTTCAATGGCTTACCTTTGAACTTGGGAAAAACAATCCTAAGTTCTGATCTATGATGCCCTTCCTAGACTGGTCTCTACTCACCTCTCCAGGCTCATCCCTTAGAAACCTCCTCCTCACCCCCATTCACTAGGCTCCAGGCACACTGGTGGCTTTTCTGTCCCTGTTTACGTTATAGGGCCTTATCTTTTAGTTTTTCTCTGCCTGAAAGGCTGAACTCCAGCTCACGACCTCTAGCTTCTCGACATCACTCAAGTCTCAGCTCACATCATTCCCTCCCCAAGAGAAGCACCCCTGACCTCCCAGTCTTAAGAGCCTCCCCAGTCCCTCTTGTCACAACTGTACTCTCTGTTTTTTAATTGTCCTCCTAATTCCTGTCTTTATTTGAAATTACCTTGTTCATTTTTGTGCTTATTGTCTGTGTCATCCTTCTAGAATATAAGCTCTTGTTGGGTGTTGAATGCTCAGTAGCTTGAAAAGTACGTGGTATATAGTAGGCATTCAATAAATATTTGTTAAATGAATGAATAAATGTGCCATGTGATTGATTCCATAGGAGGGAGTGTGATAGGTGTACATAGATATATTTGTATAAACAAGGGAAGAAGTCAGGAATGATATCCATCATTCTAATCTAGGGATTGTAGGAAAGTCACTAGGGAGAGTTTTACTTCTCACTTCATGTAAATCTTTTTTCATTTTTAAATATATATTTTAATATATGTTATTGATTATGCTATTACAGTTGTCCCATTTTTCTCCTCTTTATTCCCTTCTGCCCTGCACCACCCTCCCACCAGCACGCTCCCCGCTGCCTAGCTCATGTCCATATGTTGTACGTATAAGTTCTTTGGCTTCTATATTTCCTATACTGTTCTTAACCTCCCCCTATTTTGTACTTACCATTTATGCTTCTTATTCCCTGTATCTTTTCCCCTGTTCTCCCCCGTCCATCTCCCCACTGATAACCCTCCCTCTGATCTCCATTTCTGTGATCCTGTTTCTGTTCTAGTTGTTTGCTTAGTTTGTTTTTGTTTTGTTTTTAGGTTTGGTTATTGATAGTTGTAAGTTTGTTGTCATTTTACTGTTCATATTTTTGATCTTCTCAGATGACCTCATCTTCTCATCTTGACCTCAGATAAGGTCAAGTTAACAGAGTTCAACATCACCAAACCCTTAGTAGATGAAATGTTAAGGGGGCTTATCTAAGAAAAAGATGATCACTTTGTGATTTTTAATGTTGTGATGATTAGAGACAGTTTGTCTTTTCAGTATTT